ATGTACATATGTACTTATTAGTGTTTGTTTTATGTACATATGTACTTATTACTGTTTGTATTATGTACTTATTAGTATAGGTTTTATGTACATATGTACTTGTTAGTGTTTGTTTTATGTACATTTGAATTTATTAGTATATGTTTTATGTACATATGTACTTATTTTCTAAAGTACATTTAATGTGTTCACTTAAAGGTGCAGGTCATTTTATTGACTTTAAATACTGCTGGTAGTTTAATCTATAATAATACATCTTCTTTTATTAGTTGATCAATAATCTGAATCTGTAGAGTAACTGAAACTTTAAAATAAATGCATTGCAGTAAAAAGTACACTATGACACCGAGATGTAGTAGATTATAAGTATAAATTAGAAGAAAAGGGAAATACTCACATAAAGTACAAGTACCTCAAAATGTTATTTCAGTACAGTACACGAGTCCTTGTATCAACGCAGACAGATGAGTAATAGTAAAATCTTAATAATAGTCAAATATTTCAGTTATACAAATTTGATTTTAACATTCTACCTGATGAGTACTTTTACTTTACTACTTCAGTACATCTACCTGATAATACTTCTATACCTTTACTTTGGTAACAAGGAGGTAAAAACGTTAAAAGAAAAAGTTCATGTCAGGACTAAGATGTAACCTTCTTCACAGTGTGATGTCACAGCTGCTGTTTATCTGAACTGGTTTGTCTTTCTGTTTCTTGAAAAGGTCACTGAATGACCTCATCACCATAAACAAAGACTGATCACATAACTTCCATGGATGACATCATGATGGCGTCCACCACCGAGGTAACAAACCCCTCCCCCACACAGATAATAATCATCAGTTATTGATCTATCTGCTCATTTTATAAGTAATGATTTGACTGATTAATAGGAACCGTTAATTAGATACAAGATTTGTTGCTGTCCATGAAGTCAGAATAGAAACACAAGATAGAACAATCAGGTACGTTCAGGTGGGTTCAGGTGAGTTCAGATGTCAGGTGTCAGGTATGTTCAGGTGTGTCGGGTGTGTTCAGGTGTGTCAGGTGTGTTCAGGTGTGTCAGTTGTGTCAGGTGTGTTCATGTTTGTTCAGGCGTGTTCAAGCGTGTCAGTTGTGTTCAGGTGTGTTCATGTTTGTTCAGGTGTGTTCAAGCGTGTCAGTTGTGTTCAGGTGTGTCAGGTGTGTTCAGGCGTGTCAGTTGTGTTCAGGTGTGTCAGGTGTGTTTAGGTTTGTTCAGGCGTGTCTAGTGTTTTAAGCTGTATTTAGGTGTGTTCAGGTTTGTCAAGTGTTTTCAGTTGTGTTGAGGTGTGTCAGGTTTGTCAGGTGTGTCAGGTTTGTCATCTGTGCTTGTCAGGACCCATCCTACATCAGCCTCTCACCAACCACTGACGGTGACTACGACTACAATGACTACCGCGACCTGTTCTGCGACCGCTCGTCAGTGCGAGAGTTCAGGAGTCGCTTCGAGCCGCCGTTCTTCTGGATGATTGCCGTGGTGGGCGGAGCCGGGAACCTGGCCGTGGTGTGGATCTACCTGAACTTCCGGCGGCGTCTGAAGACCATGACTGACGTGTACCTGCTGAACCTGGCGGTGGCCGACCTGCTGTTCCTCGTTACTCTGCCTCTGTGGGCGGCCGAGGCGTCGCACGGCTACTGGAGCTTTGGCTCCGTCCTCTGCAAGTTAAACTCCGCCCTCTACAAGGTCAACCTGTTCAGCAGCATGCTGCTGCTCACCTGCATCAGCGTCGACCGCTACGTGGTCATCGTTCAGACCACCAAGGCACAGAACTCGCAGGCAGAACGCCGTCGCTGCACCCGGCTGGTGTGCCTGGGGGTGTGGCTGCTGGCCCTGCTGCTTGCCACACCCGAGCTCGTGTTCGCCACTACATCCGAGCCGGACCAGCAGGAGTACTGCAGGATGGTGTACCCGGCTCACCTGGGGAACCGCACCAAGATCCTCGTGCTGTCACTGCAGGTGAGCATGGGCTTCTGCCTGCCCTTCGTCGTCATGGCCTTCTGCTACAGCGTCATCATCGCCAAGCTGCTGAAGACCCGCAACTTCCAGAAGCACAAGGCCATGCGGGTCATCCTGGCCGTAGTGGCAGCGTTCGTCGGGTCCCAGCTGCCTTACACTGGTGTGCTGGTGACGGAGGCCGTGCAGGCCTCCAAAATGACCATGACGGACTGCGAGGAACTGAAGCGCTTCAACAAGGCAGAGCAGATGTTGAAGAGTCTGGCCTACATGCACGCCTGCCTCAACCCGTTCCTCTATGCCTTCGTGGGTGTGCGTTTCCGCCGTGACCTGCTGCAGCTGCTCCAGGTGGGCTGCTGCCGCCGCCAGCCGTCCAACAAGAGTCCGATCAGTAAGTCCTGCAGGAGTCCGCTGGGCTTGACCAGAGCCTCCGTGATGTCCGACAGCGACACCTCACAGGCGCTGTCGCTGTAGAGACGCTGACGACTTCCTGTTTGTGGACAGATGACATTCATGAAGCCCTTAAAGGAACAGTGTGTAGCATTCTGGGGGATCTATTGTCAGAAATGGAATAAAATATCACAAAGAAAGTTTTCTTAATAGTATAATCACCTGAAAATAAGAACCACTGTGTTTCCGTTATGATGAGTCGTTTATCTCCACGTTATGTTTCTACAGGAGCCCAGAACGGACAAACTAGACCTCCTACACTCACCACTAGATGTCACCAGACGCTACACACTGGCCCTTTAAATCTACTGAATGTGTTCAATAAGGGTTACATTGTAACATTGTTACATTTTACTGGCTACAAACACACCATTTCATCTTAAGATGTTGGTGTGTTTTCAGGGAAATAAAAGGTTATTTTTTGTGTCAGTGAAGTTTGTCAGCAGTCCAAACAGCTGATCAAGAACATTTAAGTCCTTTAGTGTGTCATCATCAGACTTCCAGGACTTTTTTCCACTTGCCTGTATATTGAATGTGAATGTGAGTTTTGCTACTGTTGTTGGTGACATATTGGTCATGTGACCTCTCAGATGTTGCATCATCCTGTTTGAACAGGGAGTAAAAGTGAGTCAGAACATATGTGACATCAAAGTGATTCATCTCTCAGTTCGCTGGTCATATAATGTGAAGAACAGCACTGCTAACAGATGGTGTACATCGTGTTCCTGTATATAAACCTGAGCGTCTCTGTGTCTCAGACTGAAGTGAATGTGTTTTGTTTCATGACAAACATCAAAGCGTGTCTGAAGCCTTGAAGAGTTTGTGTGACAAACAAGAGGAAGTTGAAACAGTTGTTTCTTCACATCCTTCCTCCTCTCCCTCTGGTTGTTGTGTAAAACACAGAATACACATTATATATATTATCATATTATTACATCATCTTATATTATAGTATTATATTATAAATAAGTCTCTGGAGGTCTGAAGGGAGCTCCAGTAATCTTACCGACTATGACAACCAAATCACAAATAACAGAAGAAGAAAAGAGACTCACTGAAAGAAGAGTAAAAACAACACTTTGCAGCTTCCTGAAAAACAACTGTTGATTTATGTTTTTAAATGTAAGTCCAGATACTGGATCAGCCGTAATCCCACGCGGTCTTGGCCACTTTACATTATTTGGTCCTATGAATAAAAGAGGTGAGTTTAAGGAGTCCTGAGGGTTCCATTAATCCGGACCCTGTGAGACCTGTTGGTTAAGAAGTCAGGAAGCTAACATGCTGCACTAAAGTCCATATTTAAATCTGACAAACCCAGAGGAGCCGCATGAGATCAATGAGATCCCTTATGGTTCCATAACACCGGTCCTTGATGGACAGGTGACGTACTGGGAGACATGAACCAGGAGTAAACTGGGTGAACGGGGACACAGACACTGTCAGCGCTTGTTGAGTTCAAAACCTCTCGCAGAACTGTGGAAGGCCGCATATCTCCCGCTACCAGCTATCTTTCTACAGCAGAGTCGTACCAAAAAGCAGCTGGATCCGGTTTACACTCAAAAACAATGTCCTTTATGTGTCCAAAAGATTCAAAGTCCAGCATCAGCTCAGCGATTGGCTGTAATCGTACTTCCCCTCCACGCTTCGGACAGTATTCGCTCAGTGTGTGGCTGGAATCCTCTGGACTCCTCCTACGCCCTCCTGACCCGCTTGGTCATCTGTCCAGCGGACCACCTCCTGTTTCCTCTGGTTGCAGCCTCTCTGCTTACTCATCTTATCACCATATATGGTCGTGGCCATTCCTGTAGGGCCTGTTCTCAAGAATTCCTCTCTCTCCCTGTCTCTGCCTCATGGCTCAGAACATTTAGTAACTATACTTTTAGTTTAATACATTCAATGATTATGTTTTAAGACCTCTACAAGTAAACCTATTGCAGACATATAATATCCTCTGTAGGTAAATATACTGTAAACATATAATACATTCCATAAGTAAATAAACTGTGACGTCTAACATATTTTGACCTTTAATACATTGTGACCTTTATATTCACCACTAGGGGCGCCATTAATCATACTAAGAATGCTTCTAATACTTAAATTCCTCACACGCTGCACAGGTTAGACGAGGGTTTCTGTTTTATCTTCATTTAACTTGTTGGTCTTGACTCTGGACTTGTTGGTCTTGACTCTAGACTTGTTGGTCTTGACTCTAGACTTGTTGGTCTTGACTCTAGTAGACTTGTTGGTCTTGACATCAACTACTTGGCCGTAAATAACTGCTTTGATGTTTTCCAGTCAGGCTTTCGACAGCACCACAGCACTGAAACTGCTCTTGTTAAGATTTTCAACGACATCCACTTAAACACAGACAATGGCAGAAGTTCAGTCTTAGTATTACTGGATCTCAGTGCTGCATTCGACACGGTCGACCATGCCATACTCCTAGAAAGACTAAAAATCTGGGTGGGACTTTCTGGCACAGCACTTAACTGGTTTGAATCCTACTTGAAGGACCGAGAATACTTTGTGTCTGTAGCTAATTACACATCAGAGCTGACTAAAATGACATGTGGTGTTCCCCAAGGTTCAATACTGGGGCCTCTTCTGTTCAACATCTACATGCTTCCACTAGCTCAGATTATGGAAAACAACAAAATGTGTTATCATAACTATGCAGACGACACACAAATCTACATAACTATGTCACCAGGGGACTATAATCCCATAAAAGGGCTGGGTAACTGCATTGAATCAACAACTGGATGTGCCAGAATTTTCTTCAATTAAACAAAGATAAAACAGAAGTAATTGTTTTTGGTACCAAGGATGAACGATTGAAAATCACCGCTCAGCTTCAATCACTGATGTCAAAACCCACAAACCAAGCCAGAAATCTAGGTGTAGTTATGGATTCAGACCTCAACCTGAACAGCCATATCAAGACAATTACAAAATCAGCCTCCTATCACCTGAAGAATATATCAAGGATTAGAGGATTTATGTCTCAACAGGATTTGGAAAAACTTGTCCATGCATTTATCTTCAGCAGACTGGATTACTGTAACGGTGTGTTTACAGGTCTCTGTAAAAAGTCTGTCAGAAAGCTGCAGCTGATTCAGAACGCTGCAGCTCGAGTCCTCAATAAGACCTGGAGGGTGGATCACATCACTCCAGTTCTGAGGTCTTTGCACTGGCTTCCTGTCAAACAAAGAATTGACTTTAAAATCCTGCTGTTGGTTTATAAAGCACTGAATGGTTTAGGGCCTAAATACATCTCTGATCTGCTGCTACCTCATGAACCATCCCGACCCCTTAGGTCGTCTGGGACCGGTCTACTTTCTGTTCCCAGAGTCAGAACTAAACATGGAGAAGCAGTGTTCAGTTGTTCTGCTCCACATATCTGGAACAAAGTCCCTGAAAGCTGCAGGTCTGCTGAGACCCTCAGCTCCTCTAAATCAAGATTGAAGACTTTTCTGTTTGCTGCTGCCTTTAATTGAACCACATTCAATTAATATATTAATCAATTTCCTGTATTTCTGCATTTTACTACTGTATTTTATTTCTTACACTGTTTTTATTGTTTCAATGAATGTTCTTAATTGTTTTAAATCTCCTTTTCTTTTGCCTTATGTTTTTACTGGTTTTATGTGAAGCACTTTGAATTACCTTGTTGTTGAAATGTGCTATACAAATAAACTTGCCTTGCCTTGCCTTGCCTTGACTCTGGACTTGTTGGTCTTGACTCTGGACTTGTTGGTCTTGACTCTAGTGGACTTGTTGGTCTTGACTCTAGTGGACTTGTTGGTCTTGACTCTAAACTTGTTGGTCTTGACCTTGGACTAACTAGTCTTGACTCTAGTAAACTTGTTGGTCTTGACCTTGGACTAACTGGTCTTGACTCACTTGTTGGTCTCGACTCTGGCCTTGTTGGTCTTGACTCTAGACTTGTTGGTCTTGACTCTAGTAGACTTGTTGGTCTTGACTCTAGTAGACTTGTTGGTCTTGACTCTGGACTTGTTGGTCTTGACTCTGGACGTATTGGTCTTGACTCTAGTAGACTTGTTGGTCTTGACCTTGGACTAACTGGTCTTGACTCTGGACTCTCTCGGGTTCAGTAGGTCCAAACATGATTCATGTTTTCATGTCAGCAGAAACCAAAACCTGAAATCTGTTTTTCTGTCTGTGGTTTGATTTCATGTTCAGGTCATGAGTGAAAAACAAAATGTGAAAGAAAGAGAAGTGAAACTGGTGAGACAACAATACACCACAGACAGGCAGACAGAGAGACAGACAGACAGAGACAGAGACAGACAGAGAGGTTTAAAGGTATCTTTATTTCTTATTAAATTCCGTTTACAGTTTATCAAAAACTACTTCATTCACCCAACATTACCCAGTGAAGACAAATGTCGAAAAATCGCTAGTATCACTCTCAAAACCACGCTCCTTCAGCTCCTCCACTCTTCCACTCAGAGACAGAGAGAGACACAGAGACAGACAGACAGAGAGACACAGAGAGAGACAGAGAGAGACACAGAGACAGACAGACAGAGACACAGAGAGAGAGAGACAGAGAGAGAGACACAGAGACAGACAGAGACACAGAGAGAGAGACAGAGAGAGACACAGAGACAGACAGACAGAGACACAGAGAGACACAGAGAGAGAGAGACAGATAGAGAGAGACAGACAGAGACACAGAGACAGAGACACAGAGAGAGACACACAGAGACAGACAGAGACACAGAGAGAGAGACAGACAGACAGAGACACAGAGAGAGAGACAGACAGAGACACAGAGACAGAGAGAGACAGACAGACAGAGACACAGAGAGAGACACACAGAGACAGACAGACAGAGACACAGAGAGCGAGAGAGACAGAGACAGACAGACAGAGACACAGAGAGACACAGAGAGAGAGACACAGAGAGAGACACAGAGACAGACAGAGACAGACAGACAGAGACACAGAATGTTCCAGAAGAAGTTGTGTGTTTGTGAAACGTTGACTCTTCAGATTAAATCTGTCTCACCTGCTGCGTTCACCGCTTCCTGTCTGAAGATATCTGCTCAATCACACGTGGTTGATTAAAATAGTTTGTTGTGATGGCAACATCAGAAATCTCTTTAAATTTTCTATTTAATTCAATAAACTTTATTGACATTAGACACATATTCACAAACTATGAAACTAACAATAGATATTAATTGTTGTTTTAGATTAGATATAAGTGTGTGTGTATGTGTATATGTGTGTGTATGCGTGTATGCATGTGTGTACATGTGTGTGTGTGTGTGAGACCTCTCTCTGTTTCAGGACTCTTCCTGACCCCCCCTCTGCTGATGCAGCTGAAATCAGAGAACAGAGAATTGTTGGAGCAGCAACACAAACGCCTCCTGAACAAAGGCGGCCATGTTTCCAGAACTCCGTCCTCCCATAAATCCCGGAGCGAGCGGCTGTGAGTGGTTTGACCCTTTGAGCTGCTGACCATCATGCCTCTGCCCCGACGCCGCTCATCCTTCCTGGGACAGCCGTCCTTCGAGCGACCGTCCACGTCCTCCGGCGGGCGGATCGGTTCGGCCCCCCGAGGTGTCTCCGTGGGCTCTGCCCCCCCCGTGGGAGGGGCCTCCTGCCTGGGGACGCGGGTGTCCCGACGTGCTCTGGGCATCAGCAGCGTATTCCTTCAGGGGATGAGGAGCAGCGCTGCGCCGGTGCTGCCCCGGGCAGCGGGTCACGGCGCCGCAGCTGCCGGACTGAACGGCTGCCTGATGGAGTACAGAGACAAAGTCAGAGCTCTGGAGACACTGAACCAACAGCTGGAGGAACAGATACGACTCTCTCTGGACCGCAAAGCATCCAGCGCTGGAGCCTGGGGGCCACTTAGGAGGGAGTGGGAGGACGTCTACAGACAGGTGAGGACGGGTGGGATAGGACGTCCACAGACAGGTGAGGACGGGTGGGGGAGGACGTCCACAGACAGGTGAGGACGGGTGGGGGAGGACGTCCACAGACAAGTGAGGACGTCTACAGACAGGTGAGGACGGGTTGGGTAGGAGGTCTACAGATAAGTGAGCATGGGAGGGGGAGTGCAATATATGCAGTGCAGGAGTGCAGTATAGGGCTGTGCAAAGATATCGATATAGCTCACGATGGCGATAACTTCTTTAATGGTAATTTATTGCTACGTCAGCGACTACTATCAATATGTAAAAAAATGAATCCTGCTTTAAACGGATTTAAAATGTCCTTTAAATTGAATGATGTATGATGATGGATATTGACTCATGTTGGATGTATCGTGTAGACTCGTGATGGATGTATCGTGTAGACCCGTGATGGATGTATCGTGTAGACTCGTGATGGATGTATCGTGTAGACCCGTGATGGATGTATCGTGTAGACCCGTGATGGATGTATTCGCGTGAGTAGATTACATACAAAGTCTATGCACAGACGCGATGAGACTGGAGTGACGCAAATTTGCAATGGTGAGTTGCAAATTTGCGTCACTCCAGTCTCATCGCGCGAGTTGAAATTTTTCAACTTCGGTGAAAAAAATGGCGTGGCGCTGCGGCGCAATAGCCTAGCAGCGTTGAGATGTTTCTCCTGTCATCACTGACGTCCTGCCGTTGTTGAATCAGGAAATAAATACTGTAGCCGTCTGTGTTCACCCAGAGCTCTACGATACCTCATATCAATAGAGACCGGACCAAACTATGTGTATACATGTGTGTGTGTAAACCTTGCGGAAACTAACTAAACATGAACTCAGACTTTTTACAAATCGGCATCATTACGTAGTTATTTCGGAGTCCCTTTTTGTCCCTTTATTGCAGTTAAATCACAACCAAATCAGTTTATTTAGTGTTCATACAGCTGTAGTAAACAGCCGACATGTGGCTCACTAGACATAGTGAATACAACTCGATAAAATCCACGGAGCTCCTCCGGACTGTTATGAACCAGATATGACGGCGTTTAGATTCCCGTGATATCTGGAACCTCCACAACAAGTACAAAGCAGAAATAGAGGTTATTTTTTCCATAGTTGATTGCGGGCGGTTGAACGATTTCCAGGGCGATAAGCCACGGTCCCTCTCTGGCGCATCCAGCACGATTCACGTGAATGAACACAAATAGTCCCGGCGAGACCGGCGGTGCGAATGACGCGATTAACATTTGGTGTGAACACGGCAAAAGGAAATGACAGACAACCTGACAACTGGTAGGTGAACAGTTGAGGGTTTAAATACAGAAGAGGTCTGATGAGCTACTGGAACACAGGTGAGGAACAAAACAGACGGAAAACTAAACAAAGGCAGGAAGTAAAGTAACTGATGAAGCATGTGTATGTGAATGACAAAATAAAACAGTAAGTGAAATTAAATAGAGTTCATGCGAGTCATAACATGCTTGCCAATGCACAGCCCTATCGTATAGGACAGGTGGGGAGGACGTAAACGGACATGTGAGGACAGGTGTCCTAACAACAGGAAGTTAGTCGTAGTTTGTCAGCAGAGACACAAATCATGAAGGAGGTTAAGAGTCCCTCTAAAGGTTCAGAACTCAGTGAGACATGAAACACGACATCATTATCTATGAACGTCCATGAGGACAAAAGAATCGTCTGTCTTCAGGTTTCCTTCAGTCTCACAGTGATGTTACCATGGTTTCACTGTGTGTGTGTTAGCGTGGTTTGACTGTGTGTTACCATGGTTTCACTGTGTGTGTGTTAGCGTGGTTTGACTGTGTGTTACCATGGTTTCACTGTGTGTGTGTCTGTGTTACCGTGGTTTCACTGTGTGTGTGTGTGTGCTGCCCCCTGCTGGCTCCAGCGGCTCTCAGCTCTCTGGTTTCCTGCAGGTCAGTGAAGCGATCCTGGACAACGCTCGGCTGATGCTGCAGACGGAGAACGTTCAGGCCAACGCTGAGGACTTCAAGGACAGGTCAGAAGTCACACACACACACACACACACTCCTGTTGACTTTTTTGCAGGTTTTACAGGTTTAAGTAGACCCGTGTTAGGCCAGGTTTAAGTAGACCCCAGTTAGGCCAGGTTTAAGTAGACCCGAGTTAGGCCAGGTTTAAGTAGGAGGAGTAACGTGTACCTCGTTATGCAGGTTTGAGAACGAGCAGCCGTTCAGGAAGGCGGTGGAGGACGAGATCAGCTCTCTGTACAAAGTGATCGACGACGCCGACCTGACAAAGGCCGAGCTGGAGGAGCTGATGGAGAACATGAGAGCTCAGCTACGGAACCTGGAGACCAACCACGAGCAGGTTCATCGGGCTTTTACCTCAGTTAACCACTGAACGGAGAGACAGAGTCATTATAGTCAATGTAAAAACATACAACGAAATTAAGTTGGCGACTCAGTCAGTACAGCAGCAACAGTTAAAAAGTGTATAAAAACATTAAGACAAGACATGTCTGATTTAAAACAAGACATTAAATAAATATATACAAGATAAAACACAGGCATCAATGGCTTCAAAGTAAAAAAGGTGCTTTGTTAAAGTGTTTCACCGCAGCACTGTCCGGTGTGAGCTGGGTGGGGTGGTGGGTGGTGGTGGAGGGGTGATGTAGGAAACCGCTCTGGGGAAAAAGCTGTTCCTCAGCCTGCTAGTCTGGGTTCTGATGGTCCTGTATCTTCTTCCTAATGGCAGTGGAACAAACAAAGAGTGACCCGTGTGTGTGATGTCTGTACAGATGTTTCTGGCCTTCTTCTGGAGGCGGCCAGCGTACACAGTGTCCAGGTCAGGCAGGGTGACTCCCACAATCCTCTGTGCTGTTCTAACCACCCGGGCCAGGTCCCTCCGGTTCTCTACTGTGCAGCTGGCATACCACACAGTAAAGCACTGACACAGGATGCTTTCAATCACACTTCTGTAGAACTTTCCCAGAAGTTCAGGGGGCAGGCAGCTTGTTTTAGCTTCCTCAGGAAGAAGAGTCTCTGCTGGGCTTTCTTCACCAGGTGTGATGTGTTCAGGGACCAAGTGAGGTCTTCAGTAATGTGGAGCCCCAGGAATTTGATGCGGTCCACCCTCTCCACCTCCTCCCCACTTATGTAGAGTGGAGAGGGTGTGGTCTTCCTGGACCTCCTGAGGTCCACTATCACTTCTTTGGTCTTGGTGGTGTTCAGGACCAGGTTGTTGTCCGAGCACCACTCAGCCAGATGTTGGACCTCCTGTCTGTAGTGCGTTTCGGCATTGTTGGAGATGACTCCCACCACAGTGGTGTCGTCAGCAAACTTCACTATTGTGTTGGAGGAATAGGTGAGGGAGCAGTCCTGGGTGAAGAGGGCCGGACTGAGCACACGGCCGGGCTGAGCACACAGCCCTGCGGTGCACTAGTGTTCAGGATGGTGGTTGTTGATGTCAGGTTCCCTATCCTGACATTCTGTGGTCTGTTTGAGAGAAAGTCCAGAATCCATGAACAGAGTGATGTAGAAAGTCCAAGGTTTTTGAGTTTATGCACCAGTTTCTGGGGGATGATGGTGTTGAAGGCAGAGCTGAAGTCAATGAAGAGCATCCTGACGTATGTGTTAGGGTGCTCCAGGTGAGACAGGGCCATATGAAGAGTGATGGAGACCGCGTCCTCCGTAGACCTGTTTGCTTGGTACGCAAACTGGTGGCTGTCCAGGTCTGCTGGGAGGACGTCCTTGATGTGTGATAGTATCATCCTCTCGAAGCACTTCGTGATGACTGGGGTCAGGGCGACTGGGCGGTAGTCGTTGAGGCAGGTGACTGCGGTCTTTTTCGGGACAGGGACAATGGTGGTGGCTTTGAGGCAGGTGGGGACTGCAGCTTATTGCAGGTAGAGGTTGAAGATGTTAGTGAACACCTCTGCTAGCTGGTCGGCACAGGTCTTCAGTGTGCGGCCCGACACTTTGTCCGGTCCCGCTGCCTTGGTGATGTCGATCCTCCTCAGAGCGGACCTCACCTGGTGGTGCTGGAGGAAGAGTGTCTGCTCCTCCTTGGGCTGGGTCTTCTCAGCTCTTGCTCCGCTGTGCTGTCTATCAAAGCGGGCAAAGAAGCGGTTTAGGGTGTCGGGGAGTTCCCTGTCCTGACTGATCTGTGTGGTGCTGCTCTTGTAGTCAGTCAGGGTTTTAATACCTCTCCACATGCTCCGGGGGTCATTGTTCTCGAAGTGTCCCTCGATGCGCCATTTGTATCTGCGCTTGGCCTCTCTGATGCCCTCTCATGTGACCCGTCTACTTCCCATCTGTCTCTCATGTGACCTGTCTACTTCCCGGCCGTCTCTCATGTGACCTGTCTACTTCCCGGCCGTCTCTCATGTGACCCGTCTACTTCCCGGCCGTCTCTCATGTGACCTGTCCGTCTGTCCTTACAGGACGTGCGAGTCCTCTACAGTCAGATGGCAGGACTTGAGGTGGATGAACCTGACGCTCCCATAGAAACCAGTCTGGACCAGATCCTGGCCTACATCAGGAGCCACTGGGAGAAGGTGACGGAGAGGAACCGAGCCGAGACAGACAGCTACCTGGAGTGTAAGGTAAGGACATCTCACCTGCACAGGTGTCCTCTCACGTGGCACTGGTCCTTTAAGGTGTGTGTTGACACCGTGTGTGTTGCTGCAGGCGCAGTGTGTGAGCAGCAGACTAAGTCCGGAGGAGGAGCAGGTGGAGGCGCTGAAGGCCAAGTGTAACGACACTGGCTGTAAGATCCAGAGTCTGCAGGCCGAGACCGAGTCCATCAGAGCGCTGGTGAGACACGAATGAGCTCGATCGATAAATTCGATCAATAACGGACCTCAGAATCGCCTCACGGTGTGTCTGTTGTCGTCCTACAGAGACGCGGTCTGGAGAACTCGCTGGGCGACGCCCGGCACTGGCACGACATGGAGCTGCAGAACCTGGGCTCGGTGGTGGCCAAGCTGGAGACGGAGCTTCACGACGTGCACGGCGAGATCGAGCAGCAGCGGCGCGACTACGACACGCTGCTGAGCAACAAGCAGCGTCTGGAGCAGGAGATCGGAGCATACCACGGCATCCTGGACGGGGAGGAGAGCCGCTTCCAGCCAACAGAGAACCTGTGAGTCCACCATCAGACCAGGGTCATGTGACCAAACCGTCTGAGGCCAAAAATGTCAAAGATTAACCCATAAACCCATCCTTTATTTACTGTAAACATTAATGAGGGGGCACCAGGGCCACCAGTGCTTCTGCTACTCCATGATCTCCATGACCTCCAGGACCTCCATGATCTCCTGGACATTACAGTCATTTAGCAGATGCTTTATCCAAGCGACTTACAATTCAGATTCTATCACATTTCTACACCGTACGGGAGCAATTTTGGGTTAAGTGTCTTGCTCAAGGACACATCGACATGCGACTAGCAGAGCCGGAGCCGGGGATTGAACCGCCAACCCTCTGATTAAAAGACGGCCCTGCTATCCACTTAGCCACAGTCGCTACATGATCTCCTGAGTGAGTGATGCTGAGAACCTGCAGCAGAAGTGTGAATGTGGTGTGATATCAGAAGAAGTCCTCAGGTAAACCAGTTCCCAAAACACCTGAGGACCTGACCTGAAAGGGTCTAGAGTGTAGAGGCTTCTGGTGTGAACTGAGCCACGTTAAATTAGAAAAGTCCGATAACTCCAACATGACATGAACACACCATTAGAACCTGGCACCTTTCCATTGGTCTCCTTCAGCTGCTGGAGTTACCTGTGAGACACACACCTGGGAGATGTCAGTTGGTCACTTGAACGTGAATAAATCCAGGTGTTTGACCTGATGACATCACAGTGTCATGTGACATCTGTGATCAATAATCTGCTTCTTTTGTTGTTGATGTTTCTGAATGAAAATAAAAGTTTTCAAACAGATATTAGAACGTTTCTTAAACAGACTTTAGTTCGATGGTTTGATTTATGTCTGAAACATAACATGCATCGTTCACACACATCAGAATATTATCATTAATCTGAATAATCTTTATTGATCCACAACATCAATAAATCATCACTGCTGATGTACGGCGGCTGCAGAGCGACAAATCAATAACCTCACTTCATCTTGTTCATTATGATTTAATCTGACGTTAAACTTCTAGATTCATTCTTGAGCTTTCATCTCATGTTCATGGACTTCATCAGCAGGTAGAAAGCTCTGGGAGGTTTCCAGTAAGTGGATCTATGGTAGGAAACATTTTTAAATTATGCAAATCCAAAAGGTTAGTAAATGAATCAAATATATATTGATGGTGTGAGTTGTATTTAAAAAGCTTATTAACTAACTTTCATCGATGTCCATCTAACATTATGACGGTTCCTGCTCTGCAGAGGATGAACCCTCCTCTAGCATCATCAGGAAACTGTCACCATGGTCACATGACAGGATATTATGGTCTGTAACAGACAAGGTGACTTCTTGGCCCAATCCCAACGTCCCCCCTAAACCCTCAGACCCTGAACCCTCAAGGACTCACTGAGGTCACTTGGTGAGTGGGTGAGTGAGAGACTGTGAGGGCTTGAGATGGTGGAAATATGAACGGGACATATCACCTTACCATAAAAACAACAAAACATATGATGTATAGTTGTGTGTATTTATTGTATATTATTTACTCCCTGATGTGAACGTCTTCAGGCTCTTTCCTCACTAGATGAGGTAACTTCAGATAATCTATTTACTCGTTTTTGTCAAAATGGCTTCAATGACAAAATCAAATATTTGATGAATAAATAAATAAATATCTTCTGATTTCATGTTTTAATGTTCCATCTTTAACCCTTAATGTTTCTGAGTACATGTAATACTCCAGGCTGAAAACACTGATCCGACCTCTTTGTTTACCTTTTTGTTACGTCTCCATGCGTCCACTGGTTACCCCGTGTTTAACGTCACATTGCAATGATTTGTGGGTAATTCCCTTATGCTAAGGGTTCATAAAGAAAACAAAATGTCTGCCAGAGCCTCAAACACTCAATGATTTGACAGACAGAACTAAACCCTCACGGACTTCGCCTCAAAGTCCGTGAGTCTGTGAGGGGGGGCATTGGGATTGGGCCTGAGTCTCACACATGACCGTGGAGACAACATGTAAACTGACTGTAAAGAGAACGACTTAGCAACATGTTTTGACTTCCTCCAAAATAAAAGACTGAGCTTATAACATGTAGCAAAGGAAACGACTGAGGTCCCCTTCAAAATAAAAGGTTGTGATGTAAACGACAGGAGGAGCAGAAAGTTAACGCGCATCTTCACCCCGACGTCTAAACCACCAGCCAACCAAAGTAACGTTAGCATGAACACATGGTGGACATTAGCAAGCTAACATTAGCTTAGCTTAGTTATAACCAGCAGACTAACGTCAGTCTGAAGGATTGGACTCGGCTTAGAGTTCAGTTTTGTGTTTTTAATTTAAATGTTTGTCTCGTGAACACAGACTTGTTGAGTCTTCTCCGTGTGTCTGCAGCTCCATTTCAATCACACTCTGATTACAGTCGATCAATAAAACAGTCCAGTGAGCTCATCCTGTTCCAAGAGGAAGTGACTTCCTGTTGTATAAAATCAATATTGAACATTAATCAGTCCACACGCTCTCTTATAGCACAATGCTAGCAGCGATCGTCCACGGGCTAGCTCTACCGTTTTTACCCATAATCCCACAGGGCCGGCCTCAGTGTGCAGGTCTGAGCCCGACCGTCGTACCGATGAAGCTCAGCGAGTGCCGGCGGAGGGCGTCGTCTTCCCGCCTGCAACCGTCAGTAAGGAATAGAATCCCCGGCCTCCGATTGGGGGGGCTTAGGGGTTTAGGCGGGCTGCAGTGGGATGCACCCGACCCCGACCCCCCCCCTCGTGACACACCATGGGGGTCATGAAGGTCCAGCGGTCGGTGTCGTGGTTGTACATCTCCACGGAGCTGAGGTTGGACTGCCCGTCGTAGCCGCCCACCGCGTACAGACGTCCTGATGTGGAGACCAGCGACACTCTGCTGCGCCGCGTGTTCATGGCCACTAGGGGGCTCCACTGCCCCCCCGCCGAGCTGAACACCTCGGCCCCGCTCAGGAAGCCCGAGCCGTCGTACCCCCCCGCCACGTACATGAAGCTGCCCAGAGCGGCCGCTCCGTGACGGCAACGCTTGTTCATCATGGCCGCCGCTGGGTGCCAACGGTTAGTGTGGTGGTTGTAGTACTCCACCTGGAGGGGGGGGGGGACAATTAATACATTTGTATTAAATACATTTATATATCTAGAGTCAATACATTTCTATATTTATAATAAACACATTTATATATTTATATTAAACACATTTATATATTTATAATAAACACATTTATATATTTATATTAAACACATTTATATTAAAACACATTTATATATTTATATTAAACACATTTATATATTTATATTAAATACATTTATATATCTACGGAGCAGTGTGATGCTCCCTTTACTGGTCCTCTTTTTTACATTTGAAACACCTCAACAACCGTGGAGGACCTGTTGGTCGGGTTCTTTGGGTTCTTTGAGGAACTCTCAACAATATCCTCAGTGTGGGTCCACAGTTCTCCTCCTCTGATGAACTCTTTCTGAGTCTTCTAACGGTTTTCCAGAACTGAGAGTCCTTCTCCATAGTCTCCCCAAACTCCTCCCATATACGGGTTTTTGCTTTGGCTTCTGGGGAACGGGTCCCTGACTGCTGCTTCAGGAGAGCCCTGAGCCTTCTTATGTTTACCGACTGATAGCAGCCGCCTCCACAATAGAGGCTCTGATCACGGCCCACTATGTCAACAGCCTCTTCTGGAGGTGGAGCCTCACATTCACACTTCACCCCCAACAAGTTTATAACACATTTATATATTTAGACAGTTTTAGAGCTTTTTAACCTGAACCCTCGTCAATCAAACTGACCGTGTTGAAGATCTGTAAACCGTCATGGCCGCCAGAGACAAAGATGCGTCCGTCAAACACCGTCACACCAGCAGCACTCCGACTCGCACTCATCTCCGTCACCACCGTCCACCTGCAGATCAATACTATTAATACTTAATTAATTAATACCATTAAACAGCAGGCCCATGTATGAGGCTAGCGTCAGGCCCCCGCATGAGGCTTGCGTCAGGCCCCCGCATGAGGCTTGCGTCAGGCCCCCGCATGAAGCTAGCGTCAGGCCCCCGCATGAAGCTAGCGTCAGGCCCCCGCATGAAACTAGCGTCAGGCCCCCGCATGAAGCTAGCGTCAGGCCCCCGCATGAAGCTAACGTCTATCAGGTAACTCACCTGTCGGTCTCTGGAGAATAACACTCCACAGAGTTCAGAGATGATTTTCCATCGTAGCCACCGCACACGTAGATATGACCGTCAATCACAACCGTTCCCATGGCGCTGAGGATGACAACGTGTTATTAGTCCTCTACTGTTTCAGGATCAGTACAGAACCGTGTATTGATCGGAGTATTGACCTGCGCTGGCTAGTCATGCTCGACACACGTGTCCAACTGTCCGTCTCCGGGTTGTAAACCTCCACCGTGCTAAGACGTGATTGGCCGTCGTATCCACCAATGGCGTACAGTAGCCCGTTAACGACTGCCACGCCCACTCTGCTGCGAGCCGTTCTCATTGGCTGACAGCGCTCCCAGAAGTTCCCAATTGGATCAAACATTTCGACAACGTTTAAGGAGTCACCTGAAGAGAAAAACACTGGCTGTCAGGACCAATCAAATCATCTGAGATGACATCACACAACCTGTGATTGGTCAGTCATTTAAACTTCTGAACTGAGACCGGTATAGAACTAAATCAACTCAATTACCTAAAATACGCTGATTTGCGTGGAACGCTCCGATGTGTAGCATAACTGCTGATAAGTCATCAGTTGTAAGCAGTTTGTTGATGCGCACATAGACCTATAAAACTTAAGGTGGATTTACATTAACTAATTAGTAATTGTATTTCTGATCTTCTCTGTATCCTTTTGTAAGGGTTGAATTATGGAATTGGAAAAAAAAAAGTTGGTGAAAGCAAGATGTAGCGTTTGTTTTAGACGTGTCTGCATGTCCGCGTTATTGGAAAATTAGAGACGTGAGAAACTGGACATGCATATTAATGCTATTAAAGTAAGAGACAAAGCATAACTTTTTTAAATAAACGTACCCACTCACATCTGAAATGAAGTCACAGATATTAAACAATCTAAGAGCCCAATATGATCAGAATCCTGACACATGAATTCACTGTCCAACAAAGATGTTAACAGAGAGGAATAGAGCTGAAACAAGTGGTTTAATAACTATTGATAAAGTCTTATGAGAAGATAAGAAAAATATAATATCATTACTTCACCCGGAATGAACTGAATTTGAAGCTACAAGACAATTCAGTTAAATTTATTTAAGTACTGTATTTTAAGGTTTTTTAACAACTTTCTATTTTGTATTTTATTTTTTTAATCCAGCACATATTTATTATTTATAATTCATTGAGTTCATTTGAAATCTGACAATAAATACTGTTTAGATATCATTCAATTTAACTTTATTTGATTTGTCAGTTGTTGACATACAGACGTTATTAAAACTGTTGGCTTCTTCAATATTTATGGGACTAAATCATAGAACAAATTAGACATTATTGTTCTGGACCTTTGATGAGGACATTCTCTCTAACTGGACCTCATTTAATTTGAATACCTCTGATGTACAATATTGTGTTATTATTAGTGCTGGGCAACGATTACAATGTTTAATCACGATTAATCTCATTGTTATGGCAAAGTTCAATAATGAATTCAAAAGTAGTGTATTGCGCACTTTTATTTTAAAGTACTGCTATATGAACAAAGGTCAATAACATTTGGTGTAAACACTTTAAACACATCAGGTTGTTGTTAGCAGCAGTGTTCTCTTCACACAGCAGCAGTTCTATCTCTTCACTATCTGTGCTCAGTGTGTGACTGTGTGTGAAACATTCCACTGCTGTGCAACATGAATAACATGTTTCAGCATGTTTCATCTACATGTGTGTGTTGTGTCTTCATGACAGTCAGAGCATGTGAATGCAGCTCTACTGTTCATCAATATAATGCTGTAACTCAGAGGTGATGATGGTGACCCAGCGATCAAAGAATAAAGACACTTTACCCACAATTTAGGTGTATTTTCCCTTTAACTCACGATATGCAGGTAACATGTTTTATACTTAATGTGAATATAATTCATACTTTGTTGGCATCTTATTCTGAAAACCGGATGTTCGTCTGAAGAAACCGGATGTTGTCTCACGTTAATCTTTCCGCTAACTTTCAAAGTCCTTCGCTCGCTCCCGATCTGTGCCGTTTAAATGCCGTGAATGTCAGCATATAGGTGCACTAACATGTAAGTGTCTGATGAGTTGACCACGGAGATCTGAGTGTCTGCTGACTTTACCGCAGCGATGTCCAGTAGTCTCCATTCCTCCACCGCTGCCAGTGAGCAACAGACTTTCAAAATAAAAAAATGCGTTAACGCGCTATAAAATAATTGTCGGCGTTAATTAATTAATGCGTTAACGCGATAATAATGCGTTAACTTGCCCAGCACTAGTTATTATATATTACATTACTCAAACAAAAGGTTGAAAGAATAATGGTAGAGGTTAGATTTATTCTATTGGTTAGTTAACCAAAGGATTAATCGACTTATAAAATAATAATCGTTCCTTGCAGCCTCAGACAGGTGTGTTCAGACAGATGCACAGGTGATCTGTGTACCTGAGCTGTTGAGTCCTCCCACAGCGTAGATGAGTCCTGTGATGGACGTACAGCACCTCTGTCTGGTCTTGAAGGCGGGAAGATGAGGACGACGTTCTGGCATCAGGTGGAAATCTTTAGCTTCATCCACCAGATCTCTGACAGGAAACAGGAAACACAGCAGATTCAGAGTCAAGATTCAAAGTCAAGAGTCAAAGACAACTGTCAAGAGTCAGAGACAACTGTTAGAGTCAAGAGTCAAAGACAACATTCAGAGTCGAAGACAACAGTCAAGAGTCAGCGTCGACAGTCAGAGACAAAAGTCGAGACTCAAATACAACATTCAGAGACAACAGTCAAATACAACAGTCAAAGACAAGAGTCAGAGACCACCGTCAACAGTCAAAGACAACAGTCAATAGTCAGAGACAACAGTCAATAGTGAGAGACAAGAGACAGAGACAACAGTCAAAAGTCAGAGACAACATTCAAGAGTCAACAGACAGAGACAACAGTCAATAGTGAGAGACAACAGTCGAGTCAAAGACAACAGTCAGAGACATCAGTCAAGAGTCAGAGACAACAGTCAATGTCAGAGTCAGAGACAACAGTCAAGGGTCAAAGACAACAGTAAAGAGTCAAAGTCAAGAGTCAGAGTCAACAGTCAGAGACAACAGTCAAGAGTCAAAGACAACAGTCAATAGTGAGAGACAAGAGACAGAGACAACAGTCAGAGACAACATTCAAGAGTCAACAGACAGAGACAACAGTCAATAGTGAGAGACAACAGTCGAGTCAAAGACAACAGTCAGAGACAACAGTCGAGTCAGAGACAACAGTCAAGGGTCAAAGACAACAGTAAAGAGTCAAAAACCAATAGTCAAAGTCAAGAGTCAGAGTCAACAGTTAGAGACAACAGTCAAAGACAACAGTCAGAGACAACAGTTAAGAGTCAAAGACAACAGTCAAAGACAACAGACAAGTCAGAGACAACAGTCAATAGTCAGAGACAACAGTCAATAGTGAGAGACAAGAGACAACAGTCAAAAGTCAGAGACAACAGACAGAGACAACAGTCAGAGACAACAGTCAACAGTCGGAGTCAACATTCAGAGTCAAGAGTCGAAGACAACAGTCCGAGACAACAGTCAAAGGCAAGAGTCAGAGACCACAGTCAATAGTCAGAGACAACAGTCAAGAGTCAAAGACAACAGTCAAAGACAACAGTCAAGAGTCAAAGACAACAGTCCAAGACAACAGTCAAGAGTCAAAGACAACAGTCAAGAGTCAAAGACAACAGTCAGAGACAACAGTCAGAGACAACAGTCAATAGTCAAAGACAACAGTCAATAGTCAAAGACAACAGTCACGAGTCAAAGACAACAGTCAAAGACAACAGTCAAGAGTCAAAGACAACAGTCAAGAGTCAAAGACAACAGTCAAGAGTCAAAGACAACAGTCAGAGACAACAGTCAGAGACAACAGTCAAGAGTCAGAGACAAGAGACAGAGGCAACAGTCCGAGACAACAGTCAACAGACAGAGACAAAAGTCGAGTCAAAGACAACAGTCAAGAGTCAAAGACAACAGTCAGAGACACCAGACAAGAGTCAGAGTTACCAGTGAAAAACTAGGGATTTTTTTTGGTTTTTGAAACATCAGGCAAACTTAAATTTCAGGCATTAACAAGGGGTTGGCATGAGCAACATATTATTTGTACATAGCAGCAAAGCTGCTTGTTTTGTCTCACCTGCATTTATGGCAGCAACGTACCAGTTCCTCCTGCTGGACTCTGTCTGACAGGAACTGAGGTCGACACAGAGGAAGTCTGATCTTTGACAGCAACTCCGGCAGCACCGATTCCCTCAGGTCCTGGTCATGATGAACCCAGGCCAGCACTGCCTCAAACACCTGCACAGGTACAACACATTCAATATTCTTCAAACACCTGCACAAATTGAACAGGTGCGTCTCTCTCTCACGGCTTCAGGTGTCTCACCTGTTCCTCTGCTTTAATGTTGAGTTCGTCACAGCCGACCAGCTCCAGAACCTCCTCCGTCCTCAGACCTAGAAACTCCTCGGACACAGAAACCTCCACAAAGTGCTGATGGAGAAAACTGTTGGCCGAGTCGTACAGAGTCGTGCACATCATGGTCTCTGCAAATTGTCTCACTCCCAGACAGTTCTTAGGGTGTAATCTGAGCACCACGGAGCAGCAGACAGACAGACAGACAGACAGACAGAGAGACAAATAGAACATTTTCAACACTAAATCCGCAACTACATCTGCTGGTGAGGATAATATGATTGAAAGCTGCAGAACACCTACAGAGGCAGAGGTTTAAAGTAAAGTCTTCAGATTCATGGAAATATTTCTGATTTGTAACAATGTCTTAAAAAATGTTTTACTTCTTTAAAACACATCTACAACCTTGGGTCCACTCTAAATGTATCATATAGCACAGGACTTCCATCTATTTTGTATTTCATACTTAAATATGAAGGTTTGGTTTGTAAGTCAGACATTTTAAATGATTGTAGTTAACATATAAACTCGTACTCTGATGAGTCAGAGTGTACTGTAGTTAACATATATATAAACTTGTACTCTGATGAGTCAGAGCGTACTGTAGTTAACATATATATAAACTTGTACTCTGATGAGTCAGAGCGTAGTGTAGTTACATATATATAAACTAGTACTCTGATGAGTCAGAGCGTCCTGTAGTTAACATATATATAAACTAGTTCTCTGATGAGTCAGAGCATACTGTAGTTAACACACTGTATATATAAACTAGTACTCTGATGAGTCAGAGCGTACTGTAGTTAACATATATATAAACTAGTACTCTGATGAGTCAGAGCATACTGTAGTTACATATATATAAACTCGTACTCTGATGAGTCAGAGCGTACTGTAGTTAACATATATATATAAACTAGTACTCTGATGAGTCAGAGCGTACTGTAGTTAACATATCTATAAACTAGTACTTTGATGAGTCAGAGCGTACTGTAGTTAACATACAGTATATATAAACTAGTACTCTGATGAGTCAGAGCATACTGTAGTTAACATATATATAAACTCGTACTCTGATGAGTCAGAGCGTACTGTAGTTACATATATATAAACTAGTATTCTGATGAGTCAGAGCGTACTGTAGTTAACATATCTATAAACTAGGACTCTGATGAGTCAGAGCGTACTGTAGTTAACACACTGTATATATAAACTAGTACTCTGATGAGTCAGAGCGTACTGTAGTTAACATACTGTATATATAAACTAGTACTTTGATGAGTCAGAGCGTACTGTAGTTAACATACAGTATATATAAACTAGTACTCTGATGAGTCAGAGCATACTGTAGTTAACATATATATAAACTCGTACTCTGATGAGTCAGAGCGTACTGTAGTTACATATATATAAACTAGTATTCTGATGAGTCAGAGCGTACTGTAGTTAACATATCTATAAACTAGGACTCTGATGAGTCAGAGCGTACTGTAGTTAACACACTGTATATATAAACTAGTACTCTGATGAGTCAGAGCATACTGTAGTTAACATATATATAAACTAGTACTCTGAGTCAGAGCGTACTGTAGTTACATATATATAAACTCGTACTCTGATGAGTCAGAGCATACTGTAGTTAACATATATATAAACTAGTACTCTGATGAGTCAGAGCGTACTCTAGTTAACACACTGTATATATAAACTAGTACTTTGATGAGTCAGAGCGTACTGTAGTTAACATACTGTATATATATAAACTAGTACTCTGAGTCAGAGCGTACTGTAGTTAACATACTGTACATATAAACTCGTACTCTGATGAGTCAGAGCGTACTGTAGTTAACATATCTATAAACTAGTACTCTGATGAGTCAGAGCGTACTGTAGTTAACATACTGTATATATAAACTAGTACTTTGATGAGTCAGAGCGTACTGTAGTTAACATACAGTATATATAAACTAGTACTCTGATGAGTCAGAGCATACTGTAGTTAACATATATATAAACTAGTACTCTGATGAGTCAGAGCGTACTGTAGTTACATATATATAAACTTATTCTGATGAGTCAGAGCGTACTGTAGTTAACATATAAAGTAGTACTCCGATGAGTCAGAGCGTACTCTAGTTAACACACTGTATATATAAACTAGTACTCTGATGAGTCAGAGCGAACTGTAGTTAACATACTGTATATATAAACTAGTACTCTGATGAGTCAGAGCGTACTGTAGTTAACATACTGTATATATAAACTAGTACTCTGATGAGTCAGAGCGTACTGTAGTTAACATATATATAAACTCGTACTCTGATGAGTCAGAGCGTACTGTAGTTACATATATATAAACTAGTACTCTGATGAGTCAAAGCGTACTGTAGTTAACATACTGTATATATAAACTCGTACTGTACTGAGCGTGTGCAGTGGCGTCTCACTGACCTCTCCTGCAGGAAGGAGCAGCAGGCGTCTTTAACGTTCTGCAGCTGCAGGAAGCTTGAGCCAATCAGCAGAGACTGAACGTTCTGCTGGTCGATGGCAACGTGGCCGCTGTACGCAAAGTTTATCAGAGCCTCCAGAGCACTGCAGGGAGACAGGCACTGGTTAGACTGGTTAGAATCTGTACTGGTCTCAGACTTGTCTGTGGGTACTGGTCTTTGGTTACCTGGGGTCCATGCCCTGCATCAGGATCTCGTCCTGTTTACACTCTACCATGTCCATGGTGAACATGGCATGAAAGTACGGGATGGAGGCCGCCAGCACGATCCGGTGAGCGCTGAACTTATGATCCCCGACCTGCAGGAGGACAGGAATATATTCATACAAGTATTCTCACCTGCAAGCCTCACAGTGTACTTTACAAACTGTATTCACCTTTACAGACAGTCGAGCGTCTCTGACTGAAGAGCTGTCCTTGTTATTTGTTGCTGTTGTACTTTGACTGTCTTACTGTGTTCTATATATACTGTATGTGATGTTGTCTTTAATAAAGGGTATAATGAATCATTAATAAGAGCAGGGGCCTCTGTTGATCATTGATCATTTAAATTAATACCCACATTGTAATGACACAGAGCTGGTTCAACCGGCAAAGTACTTCAAATAATTATACTTTTGCTGCTAATACTTGCATATCTTTACTTCAATCAGGTTTAGAATGCAGGACTTCTTCTGCAGTAGTATTTTCTCAGTGTGGTATTAGTACTTCTACTGCAGTAAAGGATCTGAATACTTGTTAACAGCTGATGCTCTATTGTCAGTGAGTCTCGTATCACTCCGCAGCAGCTCAGAGACACAAAGTAGACCCACTCTAGGAACTTTAAATGACCGGAAACACCTGTAGTCATCGACTCTGTGATCACCATGACAACCTGACAGTCGGGGGGTCAAATGTCAGCTGAGCTAGTAGCCTCTGACGTCACGTTAGCTTGTTTTAATAATCCGCTGTTAGCATGTTATGAGCATCTAACGCTACACACTGTTAGCATGTTATTAGCAACTAACGCTACACACTGTTAGCTGACAGGCTGTTAGCCAGCTAGCTAACAGGCTAACTCCGGCCTCGACCGTCGTCGGTTTTACCTTGAGCGTAACGTCACAGAGTTTCCCCTGACGTCGGATCTCCTCCATGACGACATAGCCTCGTGCCGGCAGGTCGTGCACTGAGAAGTGAACTAAGTCCTCCTCGAGCTCTTCACAGAGAACGTCTCCCATCGTAAGCAGGAGCGGCGGAGTGTTCGCGGACAGCCCAGCGAGCCGCCGTACGCATCCGGTCACCTTCAGAATAAAAGAGACCCACTTATGACGATTTAACGTTCGCCGCCTTCAGAATAAAAGACCCACTTATGACGATAAAATACTTTTGATCATCATGATTATCCATAAATGTAAGTTAAACATTTAAGACACTATATATAAGTGAAACTACTTTATTAGAGGCTATCAAGACAATAAAATGTGTTTTAATATCTTTGTCTGTTGTCACATGTCCTGGCTCTTTTGTTATTGTTTTATTTTTTGATTGTAACTATTCTTTTGTTGAATTTAAATAAACTAAAATAGAACTTTAACACTCCCGATTTGGTGATTAGCCTTCAAAATAAAAGGTTAGAGAAACGTTTTAGATATTTAAAACTACAAATTTGTGCCAAAACAAAATTCTAAGCGGCTTTTCCCTGCATGTTTCTTTTAAACATGTATGGATTGAAGCACCATCACTTCCACACGTCACATCCGGTTCTCTGGGTTTTACACAGTGAAGTGTTCATCATAACTATTTTAATTTGAAATTTGCTCTTTAGAATTCTGTCAACAATAAAATGATTAACTAGAAATGAAAATGATCATAATGATTAATGGTAGTGGTGAAGAAGTGGTTTAATGTGTTGTCTTAGAACATTTTACACATCTTATTTCATTCATAGAAACATGTGATACATGTTTAATATAAAAGTTTAAAAACTAAAATGAGACTTCATCAAATACAGGAACAAATAGCATGTCGAGTGGAGACATCTGGCGATCAAAACAAAAACTATTTAAACTTTCACAACTTCTGAATCAGAAATATTATCTGCATCAACATTATTTATTTCATCTTCATCTACAATAATGAATAATACATAAGTGACTTCATGCTGCTGCAAATGCAAAAATGTTCGTGAAATATAAAAAAAGTTTTCTCATTAAATTCTATGAAGTTTTTAGGATCCAACGTCATGAGACTCAATGTGGTGACCTTCGGGGGGTGGACCTCCAAGTGTCTCTGATAAGTGTAATCGGATTACAAAATGTAACACATATTAATCATTTAAATATATTATACGTGTTTAGTATTAAAGTATAAAAATCTAATTCAGACCTCAATAACGTCACAAACAAATAGCGTGTTGTCAACATCTAGTAGATATTTGAATGAACACATTGTCTTTAACTCTCATGTGAGCGTGACATGTCATGTGACGTGTTGTCCATCAGCTTGGTATGAAACCCTGGAATGAAGAGCAGAAGAACAGACTTTGTTCATGTTGGTTTCTTTGTCATGTGAAGCTTCAGTAAAGTCTGTTCAATGATTTCATCTTCACATTCACTTCATCACACAATCAGTGAGTTTGAGCAGAATGTCAACATATAAAAGAGAAGAATGAAAGATCTCCTTATTGATTATGATCAGGATCATTAATATCTTTAATGATCTTTAATATCTTTAATACCTCACAACAACAACAACATCTGGTTTGGACAAACAGTCAATGTGACCATAGATTTCTTTTCAGATGTCCACAAAGAGAACGTGTGGAGGATGAAGGAGGTCTGCTGTTTTCTCTCTTAAGACCCATGCAGTGAAGATAAACAACAACATACTAATACATCAATACGAATATTCATCAGACATGTAGAGCTCAGAGAAGTTCACATCTTCATGCAGAGAAATGTCCGTTCAGGTAAACAAACATCATCATGAGCAGTGATAGCCTCCATGGCTAAACAGACACAGGAAGGAGCTCCACCTAAAGAAACTCAAACATTTACACAACAACTGATGACAAGATGTCAAAGTACCACCCATAATGTTTGACTGACAGCTGATCTCTGTGCAGTGAAGAAACACCACAACAATCAGCTGTCAGCAACAAACATGGAGACAAAGTGAGTTGAAGAGTTCAAACACAGAGTTTAACCCTGAAAGGACTTCTGTCTATTTCAGTTTACAGAACTCAGCTGAGTCTCATCACAATAAAGACGAAGTCCAGCATAGAGAGGCTGAGTGAACGTGGTCTGGACTCTGTGGAGGAGGGTCATGGTTTCAGAGACGCTGTAGAAGGACAGAATACCTGCTCTGTGATCCAGGTACACTCCTACTCTGGAGGACTGAGGACCTGAGACGGGAGTTTGGACACTGTTGTACCAAAAGTTATAACGATTATTGTGATAATCTACCAGTGGGGGGCCGTCAGGGCCTGCAAGGCCTTCTCTGCTGGCCTAAACACAATCACAAAGTTATATCTATTTTATAATTTAATATTTCTTCTTAAATACACTACATGTATTATAATATTTTCCCCATTATCTTATGTTCTCATTGCACAGCTACTGTCTTCCTCAGTTGCTCTGCTTCCAGTGCAGCTTGCTTTAAGTAGAGCTTTTATCCAATCAGATCTCACCTCTGTGTCTCTAGGTAAGAACAGAGGCAGAGGCCTGCAGACTCCTGTGAGGAATTTAAGTTTTAAAGCGCTCCTAATTATGGATATTATATGTTACAATGCATTTACTTATGGAAGTTTAGACCAAGAAGTGTGTTGGAGTGCCTGTAAGAGAGGGGGGGGGGGGGGGGGGGGGAGGGGCTGCTTGAGGTGTTAAGTTAAGATCAGAACAACAGTTCAAAGGCCAAGGAGGAGGGGCTTGTTGGACTTCAGCGAATCAATGAGCTGATCGATGAGCTGAGAGATGTAACTTTGGAGGGACAAAGGCCTCCTCGGTACCACGGGGCAGACACACCAGTCTGTGGTCACTTTCATTACATATACAGACAGAGAGGGCAGATATATAATCATCAGAGGAAGGGTAGATAACGTTCTGCTCACATCTGTTCATATATACGCCCCTCCAGAGAGTGATAGACAATCCTTTAAATTACTATTTGATACAACCATTTCTGAAAGTGAAGGAATGTTTGTCTGTGCTGGAGACGGGAACACAATTCTAAACAAGTACAAAAAAACATAAATCCCGTCAGTCAACAGACCTCGATGTCTTCAGTAAGACACTAAAGAGGGTTTGTTCCATGTTTGGAGGAACCTCCACACACGAGAAAAAGACTTTACTCACTATTCAGCTACTCATCAGGTGCACTCCAGATTACACTACAGACAGACACAGACACCACAGACACTGCAGACATACACAGACACCACAGACACTACAGACAGACAGACACTACAGACAGACACAGACACTACAGACAGACACAGACACCACAGACACTGCAGACATACACAGACACTGCAGACAGACACAGACACCACAGACACTACAGACAGACAGACAGACACTACAGACAGACACAGACACTACAGACAGACACAGACACTACAGACAGACACTACAGACAGACAGACAGCAGGTGAAGGACTGCTCAATAGGATCAGCAGATGTATCAGATCACAATGAAATCTATTTCACTATTTACTGGAATAACAGACTGAAGAGATTATGGAGCCTAAATATTAGCATTTTAAATAATGAGACTGTTGTGAATGAGATTAAGAAATGAATGAGTGACTGCATAAAAGATGAGAAGAATGGCTGATAGCCGCCGCCGCCGCCCCCCCCATTGTATGGGACACGGTTAGAGCAACAATGAGAGGGAGACTGATCTCAAGAACAGAATACTGAAATAAGATGAAGAGGACAAAATACAATGAATTAGAGAAAACTAGAGAAACAACAACACAAAGATGGGGACAAAGGATTTAAACCAGATAAAATATTTAAAAAACAAATTGCACATCTTGAATGACGAACTATAAAAGAAATTGAGATTCACAAAACAAACTTTTTATGAATCGGGACCGAAAGCAACAAGAATATTAGCAGCAGCCTCAGGAAACAACAAATTATTGATTCAATGCACGAGATCAGACCTTTAACTAATAAGAAAAACCTATGAACCAGAAGAAACTCATAAAACCTTTAAAGATTACTACGAAACCTCATACTGACAGCCTAAGGCTGTCAATGAAGATAACGTTAAACAATACTTGTTATCATTAGATCTTCCTTCCAGAGGAAAAGTACAAAACGATGAATTAACGGCCCCATCACAAGAACAGAACTTAGACTTAGCAATTAGTAAGTTGAAAACCAATAAATGTCCAGAGAGTGACTTCTTTAGAGAAGACCTCGTCCTGTAGTGCCCAGCTAAGCTGCAACACCATCATAGAAAGAGGCCGTGACATCAGTCGTCACAAGAGAAGGTCAAAATAAAGAATGTTGTGAATCTTATCATCCAATTTCTATATTGAATGTAGATTATAAACTGTTTACATCGATAATCTCAAACAGAATGGAACTCTTTCGACCAGAGTTAATAAATGAAGATCAGACAGTTTATAAAAGGTCGACAAACAGACGAACCCTACACATTATAGAACCCTACACATTATAGAACAGGCTAACAAACAACATGTAAGTGCAGCTTTGGTCAGTCTGGATGCAGAGAAGGCGTTTGATAGAGTCAGCTGGTCTTTTCTGTACAGAGTGCTAGAGAGGCTGGGTTTTAATAACCAATTCATTAGGTGCATACAATCTTTATATAGAGACCCAACCGCTAGAATAAAGATCAACGGACATCTGACAGGTAGTTTTAAGCTGTTTAGAGGCACTCGGCTGCTGCCTTAGCCCCTCCCTCTTTGCAATATTCATAGAGCCTCTGGCTCAGGCTATCAGACAGAACAAAGAGCTGAAAGGGATCAATATAGCAAAGGAGGAACATATAATGTGACTTTTTGCAGATGACATTATTACCCATCTCCAGAATCCCAACTCAACAATTCCCAAACTTATGACAATTTTGGCTGACTATGGTCGGATGATTGAACATCACCAAAACACAGGTACTCCCTTAACTACGTACCAAGTAAGGCAATTAGGCAGAAATATAAACTGAAGTGGGAAGCACAATTGTTACGTGCCGTGTTGTGTTTCTGCTCTCC